ATTTGATTATTTTGGATTATATCCAAAATAATCAAATAAAACAACAGAAACAATAAATAAACTGAATTATACAGTTTGAACTGTCCTTCAGAAATGGCTAGTTGAGTCCAAAGCACCAGAGTGAAGATTTAAAAACGATAAAGGAAGAGTTTGTTTTAATTTATGATGTGATTAATTGGTTATTGTGGCAGGCCTACTTGATCACATGAAGATGAGTTTAGTAAACAGCTGAATCACGTGTGATCTGTGAAGGATGTGTGCATGAAGAGTCCATCCGATCCTCTCTGGTTTTTGTGTAAATGAAGCTGAAGGAGCATTAGAAACAGCCGGGAGGCGCCGACCAGCGCCAACTAGCTCTGCATGACAATGAGGGATGAGCACAAGGCTCCTGCCTTGCTAAAGGGCCCGGGGGAAGAGCAGCCGCGTGTCTTCAAGCCGCCTCACTGACCTGCTGGCACATCTAAAGCAGCGATCAGAGCTCCTCTGCAGGTCAGCGCACATATTAATCAGAACTGGTCAATCTTCTCTGGGTAAAGCGGCGTGTCAGAGCGTCCTTGGCCTCCTATGGCCTCCAGGCAGGTTATTCATATTCAGGCCGACCGGGCCGCTCTGCTGTTTCTGGGTCACACTGACCAGCAGGCAGCGGCACGGGAACAGCAGGAGGCCCTGCAGGCTCACCAGGCTAACAGCATCAGGCTAACAGCACCATGCTAACAGCAATAGGCTAACAGCATCAGGCTAACAGCACCATGCTAACAGCATCAGGCTAACAGCAATAGGCTAACAGCATCAGGCTAACAGCACCATGCTAACAGCATCAGGCTAACAGCAATAGGCTAACAGCATCAGGCTAACAGCACCATGCTAACAGCATCAGGCTAACAGCAATAGGCTAACAGCATCAGGCTAACAGCACCAGGCTACAGCACCATGCTAACAGCATCAGCCTAACAGCATCAGGCTAACAGCACCATGCTAACAGCATCAGGCTAACAGCTGATTGGGTCTGTTTCACCTGGCAGATGAACCACCAGCCAGTCCTGTCACAGTAAATCAATCATGATCAATTAAAATGAGCTCAATAATTTCCATTAGTGTTTAAATCTAGACTTTAAAGTTTCTTTTGAACCATAATGAATGAAACCAACATTCTTTGTGAATGATTTTGGTGAACATATTAGATTCATATTATCGCGTATCGCGGCGCCAGGCGGCGTTTAAACCCGGAGGCCTGGAGGACCTTTAACGGTGGGTCAGCCCCGGTTACCGCCGGTTACCGTCGGCCCCCACGCAGCAGGTTGCGCGCGCCATCCTCATTACTCGCCACGTCCGTCACGGCGCCGGTAAACATCCTGACGGAGGATGAGCCTCTGCAGCCGGAGCCACCCGGCTGACATTTCCCCTCGGTGGCGGCCGGGGAAGCTGGCTGCCAGGCGGCATTGCCGACGCCGCTGCCTGCAGGTGACAGGAAATTGGCAAGTGTGTCTCTGTAGCCGGAGATTTCACTCCCTGTTGCTCCTTTTCATCGCTCTCACATTGTGTTTTCCCGTCTGTCTCTCCTCTCTGTTATCTGTCCGTCCCCCTTAACCGGCAGCTGCCGGGGCTTCAGGGGAAGCTCTGACACGGGAGTCCGATGCATACAGAAACACTTTAATTTATGCTGACCCCTGATCGGCCCCTGATCGGCCCCTGATGTCTCTGTAGGACCCATCAAAGGTTCGGTTTGTTTCTTGGCCATAAATAAATTATTTTCTCTGGTTATTCTCACGATTAATCGAGTAATTAGCTTAAAAAAACACATTCTGCAGATTTTTAATTTGACCATTTAAGTCAGGGGTGTCAAACTCCAGTCCTCAAGGGCCTCTGTCCTGCAACTTTTAGATGTGCCTCTGCTGCACCACACCTGAAAAGAATAATTAGGTCATTAGCAAGGCTCAGGAGAACCGATCTACACAGGGAGGAGGTAATTAAGCCATTTCATTCCACTGGTTTTTACCTGTGGCACATCTAAACACTGCAGGACAGCAGAGGACTGGAGTTTGACACCCCTGATCTAAGTAGTTTAAAAACATATATAAAAAGAAATCATTCAATTCCCCTTTGTTAAATATTAAAATAAAATTTTCTTTCCTGAAATGTAACATGGCAAAGCCATCCATCCATCCATCCACCCATCCACCCATCCATCCATCCATCCATCCATCCATCCACCCATCCATCCATCCATTTTCTATCACCCCCGTCCCTAGTGGGTCAGGAGCTGCTGCTGCCTCTCCAGCAAACAAAAGGGCGAGAGGTGGTCCAGGTGACCCGTCCAGGTGACCCGTCCAGGTGACCCGTCCAGGTGACCCGTCCAGGTGACCCGTCCAGGTGACCCGTCCAGGTGTCCAGTCTGTCGCAGGCAAAGGATGCATCTACAGCTAAATAAATACTAAATAAAAGCTGTTAAACCTGCTTGATTTAACATCTATTAACTATTTTTCTAGAAAATGATTTAAGCAAAAGGAATTTAACAGGAGAATTTTACAGAATTCAAACCAGACGAAGCAAAAACTGAAACATTGAGTTCTGAGTAGAACAGATTTACATCTAGAGATGCTAAATCTTTAAACGTTTTGGTTTAATTTCTGCTCAGTTTTTTTCAGCAAATGCCATATTTTAGTTAAAAAATCGATTAAATTAGTTGACGTTATTTCAGTAACTGATAAATCTGATGAATTGTTCGAGTTGTGGCCAAACTGAACCGATCAGCTTCCTCTCCAGAGACTCTTCTCATCTCAAGGACTTCCTTCAATCAGCCTCGCCGCCTCGCGCCTTCCCTCGCTAACTTTTAAAGCTGACAAATGAAGAGGATAAGGAGCGCTGGCGAGGCGTGGGACGGCGCCGCGGGGTGAGATGGAGAGCTGATTAGATTAGAGGAACGTTCTGGACCTGACACTCGTCTAATGAGCTCCACAAAGGGTTCTGCTGCGTCTCCGGGGCTCCGGGGGGCGCCGCGCCCAGGCAGACGTCTCAGCCCGTCTCTGACAAACGCAGAGATGAATTAAAGGCTGATTGGAGACTTCCCTTTCACTGCTCTGTAACCGTGGAAACCTGTAATTGGCAGTGAGAGGCGATGATGAACGAACCTGAGAGGCTTTTCTCTGGATGAGAGGAGACCAGGTTCTGCTGGGTCCAAACTGAAGGTTCTGGTTCTTTCTGCTGCTCAGGTCAACAGCAGGACGGAAACGGTTTATTGTGACCAATCGATTATTGAAATAATCGTCAACTAATTTAGTAAATTAATTGTTAATTGGAATAAACAGAATAAAAAACAACACAGTAGCAGAAATGAAGCAAAAACTGTCCAGGAAAATTGAACATTTTGCATTTAAAATAAATTTAGCTTCACTGTTAACCACATTTTTTATCCAATCAGTTAATCTAAAATAATCCCAGATCAGCTCTGCTCTGATGTTCAGCTTTTCTCATGTTGATGTTAGAAGATATTTTGGCTTTTGATACCAATAATCAATAAAATGTTATTGAATTTTAGGCAATAAATGTTGGTTTTCATTTTTTTTAAAAGGGAATGCATTTCTAATATTGTATAAAATGGCTTTAATGAAAAATCTGTAGAATGTGGCAGCTTTGTTATTTGATTAATCACCAAATTAATTGATGAATCGATACTTAAAATAATTGTTAGTTGCAGCCATCGGTTTACGACCCGACCCGACTAGGACCGACCCACTCAGCTCAACCTTTAAATTTGACAACACAATCACCAATAAGAACCAGGACTGAGCAATAAATCGGTTTTATCGATTAATAAAGTTTTCTGTTTTTGAAGATTTGATTTTTTCCTCCTCAGTTCATCCAGCATCTTGTTTGAACATCGTTTTTTACAGTTTCTATTTAATTTACCTTTAAATTCAGGTCAACTTACAGAAGAAGTTACTGGAATAACAGATTTTTTTGTTGTTTGTAAATTCTTCATTAAAAAAAAGTCGGAAGTCAAATTAGGTATAAATAAAGTTGCAGATTGTACTTTTCAGCCACATTGGCCGTTCTGAATTAGAGATTTAAAGCCGTCCAGACTCTGACCTCACTGAGACGACAGTCTGAATAAAATGCACAGTTAGATTTTACTGAGCCGAAGCCTGAAGGGCAGCAAACGGACCGACTGCAGCCGGTCAGCACCGCTTGTTGACATCAAGTAGAGCGAAACGTGAATCAAACCTGACTGAATAAACAGTTTGCTGCTGCACCTGAAACTACTTAACAACCAGGTCTGGTCACCAAGGCAACCGGCCGCAGACAGAATTAATGGAACCAGAGCTGTCCACTCATTGATATTATTTCCACAACATCGGTAGGAACAACAGAGATAAAATCCCTGGACTGATTACAGCTGAACATATTCAGCAGCTGCAGCCGAGCACGGCGGGAAGCTTCGACGTTTCCATAGATAAATATCAGCTGCAGCCAGGCGGGAAAATAGGCCGAGCAGAGGAAAGTTACACGAAAGAAACACGGCCACAGCATGTAGCTTTAATAAAAATATGATTTCACATGTTTATTAAAACTGTTAGCATGCCGCTACACTTCAATATGAGACAGAAAACCTATGGAAACATCGACATCCTCCCAGTGCTCCCAGTGCCGTCTGAGCAAAACAACCAATCAGAGCCAGCAGGAGGGGCTTAGTGCTGTCAATCAACCTTATGAACGTGCGGTTAACTGTGTCAATGCCACAGAGAAACAACTTACTGTGACAGGAAAACCATTTATCCACTGTCTTCTGTGGCTAACTAGCATTAGTACTGGTGAACCAGCTGTGGTGCAGCAGAGAGCAAGGGGGAGGGGGTGAGCAGCACATACATGAGTGATTGACAGCACTAAGACCTGTTCCATGTTATGGCATAGCGACAGTTTAAACAAATATGAGTAACACTTTATTTGAAGGGGGGTTGAATAAGACTGTCATAACACCTGTCATGAACATGAATAAGCCTTC